TATGTGTGGAGGGACAGTAACTGTGTGTGTATATGTAAGCATTTAAACACTGCAGAGAGAACAAGTAACAGTAACAGTGTTGTAGAAATTCATTTCACCGAAACAGTAACGTGGCGCACAGTGTGACGTCAAAAAATGCGCACGCCTTTGACGCTGCGTTTCTGCGTTTTTCTCGTCCACACGTAAATGCAAAAACTGAGTTTTCAAAAATATCCACCCTGGCTGGAGTTTTTACAAATCTCCGTTTTCAGTGACCAAAAACGCCGTTTATGTGTGGACGAAAGGTGCAAACGCATAGAAAAATCTGCGTTTTCAAAAATACCCGGGTACGTGTGGACGTAGCCTAAGTCTGGAATTGAAAGGCAGGTCTGTGCGCTGTCCCGAACACAATCAGGACATCAGTGTGAAGCTACAGGGAAGCAGGGCTCAATATATCACAACCCAATATCACAAAACGGGACCAGCATGTCCATTTCATGCTTTGCATGAAGTTTTCTTACAAATCAACACTTAGTAAATGACATATTATGTTTGTGACTCATTTTGAAATGATTACGAACAGAGTAACAAAGTAACGCTTTTTGTTGCTGTAGTTCTTTTTTTATGGAGCTTTAATGAATTCTAATTATAAAATATGAATTCAGAACGACTAAAAGCGCTATTTGTGATTGCAAATTAGTATTATTCTATTAGATGCCAGTATTTTAATAACTTGTGAACCCTTTAAGTATTTAATTATGAATGATGAGTTAATTATATAACACTTAGTTTTCCACTAATAAAACAATGGTAATTATAATTTTGATGATTAGTGCCCGCCGGGTGGAAGAAATAAGCATCAAATCTCAATAACGAATGAGCAGAAGGTTACTCGTGATTTGGTGATCATCTACAGATCATTAGAAGTCATAATTAATAGTTGACCTAGAGAATAACTAAATATAGTTAACAATACATGAATCATGCAGTTCTTGCTGTAGAAAGTGAAGAATGTGTGTGTGTGTGTGTGTGTGTGCATAAACACACTTGCCTTTAGCCAAAGTGAATGTTCCAGGTCGTTGTTTATGTCCGACTGGGCTGTGCACGGGAACCAGGCATCAGGGGGCAAATTCTCACTCACCTGCAGGTGATGGTACGTGCAGAGCTGC